CACACACACACACACACACACACACACACACACACACACACACACACTGACCTTTAATATCTATGCAAACAGGTAAAGACTGCCAGGTAAAATGATTAAGGCAATCAAAACATTCTTTGGATATATGTGTAAGCAAGTCCCAGAAGCAAAACTGTTAGTCATATCAGCAAGTGGACAGCCATGGGTGTATGCTTTTGGGTGGTGGTCACTGAGTCAGAGTTCCTGGGAATGTATCTTCCAGGGATTAGGGTAAGAGACAAAGGGCTGGTGTGTACCAAGATGGATGCGTAGCATAAAATGGAGCTTTTTTTTATCCCTAACAGTTACTCTTCAGAAAAGCTTTCTTAGGAGAGACAGCGAAGCCTCACAACCATAGGCAGTTGTGATCAAGCTGAGAGAGCGTTAGGAGAGATGGGGCCTTGCACTGCACACAGCACAAGGGGTTGGAAGGAGAGTCTTCACTGTCTGGAATATCAGGGACGCTATAACATCATGGACCACCATGAGGGACACCAAAGGGACCCCAGATATTCAGATCCTGAGACCAAGGGAGTTTGTTTTACAGGCTTTCAGGGGTGTGCGGAGTCCCTGATAGCCAAGGTTACACAGAGAAACCCTGTCTCTCTCTGGGAAAAAAGATCTTATCTGTGTGAAATGTTGTCACACATGGCACTGCCCAGCAATGAGCAGCATTATAATTTCTGCTTATGCAGTCATCTGTTAGTGGCCTCTGAGCTCCTTAATCATGAAAGGGAATTTAGTCAGGCAAGTTTACAGGGATAGAAAGTGCAGGAACAGAAAGATTTTTGGCAAACATAAGGTTCAAACGTTTGGCAGATAGCAGTAAAAAAAAAAAAAAAGAAAAAGAAAAAGAAAAAACCTCACAAGGCTATGAAAATAATAATTTTGTACTTTGAAAGCATTCTTTTAGCAAACAGAAGCAGGACCTGCAGCATGATATTTGTCCACTGCAATGCCCTTCCCTTCAGGCAGTTTTGGACAAGTGTTAATTTTCCCTGATAAAGGTAGGGACTTCTAACCAGCAGGCAGAGCTCAGTCTACTTAAATAAAACTTCAATTTATTTGTATATAACCTGTCACCAAGCTACCATAACATATTGTTAAGTGCATATATAAAAGTTTTATGTATGTATGTATGTATGTATTATGATCTGACTGTACCATTTTCTTATCAGCACCAGCACTAACGCGATGCTGTATTCATGTACTGATCACTCTCTTTGTGTGCAAAGTGTGACACAAACAGTGGAGTTATTGTTGTATGCCTTGACAAAGTATCTTTTGTCTGAATCAGCAGTATCAGCATTTGTTCTCACATTTTGAGCTTCAGAAAGAATGAGGGTCATGTTGTTCCTCCTCCATTTTACCCCTCCTGATATAGGACTCAGCAAGGAAAACCCTAGATAGAAATGATGTGTGTGTGTGTGTGTGTGTGTGTGTGTGTGTGTTGAGGCAAAAGGTCAACCTGTAGTGTCATTCTGCCCCTATTTTTAAACAAACAAGCAGACAGACAAACAAACAAAAACAGGATTCCTTACTGGCTTGGAGCAGTTTTTCAGTTTTTCTCATCTCCTAGCACTGGGCTTACAAATGCATGCTCCATACTTGGCTTTTTACAGGATTCTGGGGATCAAACTCGGCTTCTTGTGTTTACAAGGCAAGCACTTTACCCACTGTCCCCTCCCCCCCAATCTCTAGATGCTTAGCAAGGTTACTCCATAAGAACATGGCTAGAGGCCAGCCAGCAGTCAGAAGTCTCTGATTGATAGTACCATTCAAAATCCATCCAGACTAGGTCAACAATGAGAGAAGACAAGGGAAACAGAAGGTAGGCACTTAGGTAAGAAGCCAACAAATGGGGGTGAGGACAAGGGGTTCATTAATGTTGACTTTCATTGTGAGGTGAACCCAGTGGGCTGTCTGAGAGTCTCCGGTACCCAGATCTTCTGTTGTTTCTACTTGGCATGGCCAGATTCTCTGGAAAAGTCTTCCAGGCTTGATTGGAGGGTGATACTCTGGGAACAGCCAGAGGCTGGAAGCTCACACTTACCACACTCACAGTCACTCAGTGTCCTGTTTGTGGTATGTGAAACCCTGAATGTGTGTCTAGACTTGTAGACGCTGCGAGCTTCTGTTTTATCCTGTCTAGAGAACATTCACACCTCTGCTGGGGTGAGGGAGGCTATCTAGGGAACTGGAGGAAGTGTTCTCTCCTTCTGTTCACTCCCAGAGAAACCTGGGCTTGTCAATCTGATCCTTTCTCTAAGGACAGTTACTTCTCAGCTTCTTTGTTCCAGTTGAATTGTGTTTAAAACAAATGTCCCCAAGGCTGAAGAGATGGCTTAGCCATAAAGCTTAGTCTCCCAACAAAAATGAAATGCCCCAATTAAAAAGAAAAATCTCTGTGGTGTTGGGGAATAAACTCAGTGTCTTCCCCATGGTAGGCCATTGACCAACCATGAAGCAATCTCCCAGCCCAAACAAATGCTTTCTTTTATTTTAGTAGGACTTTAGGTGGGAGTGAAATTTGACAAATGTTCAGCTTTTCCCTGCACCTTTCTCTTTTCCAATGCTTTTCTTTTCTACTCAATTGCAGCACAAGTCAGATATTCTTACATTTGCATTACATCACTACCATTCTTCTGGTAGTGATGCAAAGATCCTAACTCAAAAACAGAAAAAACAAACAGTAAAAACAATAAAACTCCAACCCTCTAAAGGGAACACCTCCATGCCTGGCAGGCCCAGATGCTGTAAACATGGCTTGAGGTGAGGTCTTTGCTGTCATGGAGGTCAGCTTTTTTTAGAGTTCTTAGTTGCAATTTCTTCTTGCACTACACTTGCCTATTGGCTGGGCACTTGGATCATCCTGCCATCACCCCTCTGTTCTTTCCGTTGATGCCTTAAAAAGATTTCTATGCTTTAAATAGTCCGGGGCTGAATTCAGGTTACCGTTTTGGGCTCATGTAAATCCCAGGCTAGCTGGTTCTGTCCATTTCTTTCCTCACCCAGCCCTCTCCTCCCTGCCAGTATGTGTTGGCTCTCTAGTTGGCCATTGGAAGTGAAGGGGGCATGTGAGGTGCTATGAGCTGGGTGACCTTGTTCAGCGAACAGGCTGTTGCTACACTTTTGACATACAGCTTGACTCACCCCCTTCTCTGTTGCAGGTCAGAGATGCTGTCACGGCAGCAGGCATCGCTGGAGTGGGTTTGGCAGTCTTCGGCCTTGTTGGGGTTTTCTTATCCAGAAACAAGAAACAGAAGCAATGAGTTGAATGACTATCCGGCCTTAGGGGCTCCTCTTTTGCTGGGGGGGGCTTGGAATTTGATTTGTAGATTCTACTGTGTCATAATTAGGCTTATTTTTACAGCATACAATAAACCACAAGAAGGGAATTTCACTGGGAGGATACTGCAAGAGTCGTCAAGCGTGAAGTCTCTGGAGGGAAGCTCTGGGCTCTGTCCTGAGTAACACCCTTTCCCGGTTGGTCTTTCTCTTTGCTGTGGTACTCTCCACTTTGCAGAAAACAGTCCAGCACTGTTACCTCAAGTGAAGGTCATTTCTGTGTGTCAGATACTGTGGTATGCCAAAGGAAACGGCTTGGACAAACAGAAATGGAAACCTCAGATAGCCAGGGCTCTTGCTTTAGGACTTGATCCAACATGGCACTTTGAGCCTCAGGGGCTGGAGTCTATGGACATTTAGTGGAGTGTGAAAGACAAATCCTCTAGGGCTTGGGCTACAGCTCAGTGGTGGAGTGCTTTCCTGGAAAGCATGATGTTTTAGGTTCAATCCCTAGTGTAACCCCTTTCCACAGAGAAATTCAGGATATACTGGGCTGGTCTTCCTAAAGCCTTCCAATTTCCTTCTGCATTAAACATCTGTTCTACTTAGGTTTCTATTGCTGTGGTAAAGACCTGAAACAACTTGGGATGAATTGGCTATTGGCTTCCATATTCCTGCTTGTAGTTCACTGAGAGAAGCTGAGGCAGAAACGGAAGGCAGCAACTGACGCAGAAACCATGAAGGGGTGCTACCTACTGGCTTGCTGTCCATGACTTACTTGCTCAGCTTGCTTTCTTACACAGTCCAGGACCACCGGCTGGGCGGTGGTGCCACCTGTAGTGGAATGGGCTCTCCCACAGCAATCATTAATCAAGAAAATGCCCTACAGAGTTGTCTATAGCCGATGTCTTGCGGGCTTTTTCTCAACGGAGATTTTCTCTTCCCAGATGACCCCTGTTTGTGTCACACTGAGAAAAACCAACCAGCAAAAGTTTCTTTTGCCTTGGCTCTTGCTCCTCCTCAGGACTCCTGCTTTCTCACCACTGGTCCTGCATTTCTACCTTTCCCTTCTCTTCCCTTCTCAGCTCATTATCACTTACATGTTCAACCCTGAGACCCCAAGAGAGAATGTGATCGGCTCAGTGCACTATGGAGGCTGCCTTTTGGTCAAGTGATTTTTCAGTCAATTAGGTGTGACTAACGGCTCAGAGTCATATGGTACAAACATTACTTCAGGTCTTAGGAATTGATAGAGTGACTGAAACAGCTACTACCTATTGCTCATCCCAGGGCAGAAGCAAGGTGTCTCCTTTGCAATTGATTAAAAAAAAAGTTAACTTTTATTTTAGGTGTATGGGTGTTTGTCTGCACATATATATGTACACCATGTGTGTGCGGTGCTGGTGGAAACCAGAAGAGAGCACTAGATACTCTGAAACTGGAATTACAGATGATTGCTAGCTGTCACGTGGGTTCTGGGATTATTTGCAAGAGCAAGTGTCCTTAGCTGCTGAGCCATCTCTCCAGGCCCCTGGAGCTGTCCTTACTGCTGGTTGGGATTGGCAGACTTTCATAGTGGCTGTTTTAGGGGACTTCTATGGGTTTCTCAGAAATACTCCTCTTGGGCTTGCTGCCATTCCTCTGCGGGTCTACTATGCTCTTTTACTAGGCCGCAGGTGTTTCCTTGCAAGGCTGGTTGTCTGCAGACATCTTGTTCATTACAGCCCTGCTCAGGATTGACATCTTACTGTGTGGCAGCTTTCTCCTGACTTATCCACATCTTGCACAGAATACACATGTGCTCTGAGTCCCAGGGTTGAGAGAACAGTTTTCTTTAGCGCAGATTTCTCTCTTAGTGTCTCATGTGCACTAAGAAGTGCACTAGCTCCCCAAACCCAAGGGACCCAGATCCAAGTTCAAAGGACAAGTATCTTGATGCCCTCAACCCTCAATGTGGCACAAGGTAGAAGGGACACAGTGAGGGGACACACAAACTCTGTAATATTTAGATAATATTAGTTTATTATCTAAACTACTAATGGAGAGTAAAAGAAAAAGAAGGAGAAAAAACAAATACAAGAAGAAAACCATACAAAAACGTCACTGTCAAACGAGAAAAAGCAACCCAGGACGATGTGCTCAGGAAGTTGAGGTGCTTGCTGCCACATCTGTTGACCTGAGCTTCCTTTCTGGGATGTATACTGTGGAAGGAGCAAATCAACTCCCAAAAGCTGTCCCCTGACCTCCACGTATGTATCACAGCATTGGCGCACGTGTCTGCGTGTAATACATAAGTAAATGTGGTTTTAAAAGCTAGAAGAAAATACAGACTTTAAGGCAAAAATGATTACTACACAGAGAGAATAAAAAGGTCCTGATTAAAATTTCAACTCAATCAAGTATATGCTAATTTAAAATTTATTTGCATTGAATGGTCACAAAGTAGATCATGAATTCTTGGCCAATTTACCATCGTAGTGGGAGATCAAAAAGTTATTATATTTGCTTAGCTCTAACATAATTCAAACACCAGGTCAATGCAGATGACAAAAATTTATTGTAACTAGCCACTACTGATCAATCCGGGCTGCAGAACAGACTCAGGAGCTGAACTGCGACCCTGAGCCAGACTGTTACAGAGCTTTTATGCTTGAAAACCGTAAACATTTGTGCCAAGTCACAGTTACATTTTTTTCCCCATCCATCAGGATTTAGGGATAGGGGACTTTCCTAGTAAATTTGCCTTTGTGGTACATTTATCCTGTTTTCATTGGTTGGTTTATTCAACTGTGGTGGGGCGAATTGCTTAGCATTCATGTCTCAATTTGCCAACCAGGAAGTCAGGTTCCCATGTACATGTCTCTGTCTGCCAAGCTGGATGTCAGCTACCCAGGGAGATCTCGGGAACTTAATCTCTATTTGACCACTATTCAGAATGGAAGTTTTATTTAAAATGGCTTCAGTTTGGTTCCTTCTTACAAAAATACGTATCTTTGAGACTGGAGAGATGGCTCAGTGGTTAAGAGCACTGGATGCTTTTCCTGGGGGCCTGAGTTTGGTTCCTAGAACACACATGGCTGCTTACAGCCACCTGTAACTCCAGTTCTAGAGGATCCTACACCCTTTTATACCCTCCATGGGCATTGCACACACAGACATATATGCAGGCAAAATACCCACACACATAAAAAAATTTAAAAATGCATATCTTCTAGGGCCTGATAAAGTACAATGCAAAGATAGAGAAAATTTGAAAAATTGACAAGAAACAGTTTTAGTAGACATATGCAGTGTAACCAAAATACAAATTCTAACTACATATATAGGCACATTTTAAAAAAAATGATATCCTGGTGTGGTTGTTTGAATAAGAATGGCCCCCATGGAGTCTGTGTGTGTGTGTGTGTGTGTGTATGTGGGGTTTCTTTTTGTAGCTATGACTGTCCTGGAACTCGCTCTGTAGAGCAGGCTGACATTGGACTCACAGAGATCCACCTGCCTCTGCCTCCTGAGTGCTGGGATTAAGGGTATGTGCCACCACCAGCCAGCCAGGTTCTCATATTTGAATGCTTGGGAGTTATCAGGGACTACTAGAAAGGGATTAGTAGGTGTGGCTTTGTTAGAAGTTGTGGACTTGGTGCAGGAAGTGTGTCACTGGGGTTGGGCTTTGAAGATTCAAAAGCCCAACCAAGCTCAGTGTTACTCTCTTCCTACTACCTGTGGATCCAGATGTAGAACTCTGAGCTACCTCTCCAGCACCATGTCTACATGCATGCCACCATGCTTTCACCCATGATGACAATGGATTAAACCTTTGAACTGTAAGCAGCCCCAACTAACTGCTTTCCTTTATAAGAGTTGCCATGGTCATGGAGTCTCTTCACAGCAATAAAACATGGAATAAGACACCTGGTGTCTTGGTGTTACAAATGGCTAGCTGGAGGGTTCTTTTGTTCTTTCCTGATAGAAATCACAAAGATCCAGTTCTCAATGTTGGGGATCCTACTTTTAGAGGCTCACAGTTGAGTTTCCAAGCCCAGTGGCAGATAGCTCTAATCTCTGAGAATCAGAAGCTCATGGCTGCAAACTTCCAGAGCCAAAGACTTGATGCTTTTAGTTTCGGGTCACTGCTGCAGGCTTGGTGGGCCAGAGCCAGCAGCTAGTATTAGAGCTTCTGAGTGCTGGGACCTTTGACTTGTTTATCCCTGGTGACTCCACTGAACAACTAGGAAAGACCTCAGAGCCTCAGATTTCACAAATGGCTCTTAAAAACTACTCAGTAGTTTTTCTCAGTAGCTTCAGCTTCTTTGCTGTCTCTTCTCAACACTTCTGCCATCTGTAGCTGCCCTCCTTCCATTTTGAGACAGGGTCTCACTATATAGCCTTGGTTGGCCTTGAACTCACAGAGATCCACCTGCCTCTGCCTCCCGAGTGCTGAGATTAAAGGTATGTGTCACCATGATCAGCTGTCCATGACATTTTGAAGTTTCTGCCTCCTCTGAAACTCTTCGAACTCTTCTGCCCCTGGTGTCATGTCTCAGAACTTCAGGTGCCAGGGCCCTAGGGTTAGCCTCCTGGTGCATAGCCCTGTGACTCCACAGAGCAGAGCTCTTCAGCTGCTTCCTCACTGCAGTGGTTGCTGGTGTTGCCGGAAGCTCCAATGTTCTGCTTGTTTTTGTGGCCAGCCCAGTATGCTTTCCCTGTGTTAAAGACCACAAGTAGACAAAAAGCTCATCCAGACTTTATTGTGGGAGGGAGAAAAGCCTCCCAAGCTTCCTGAAAATACAGGAAAGCAAACTTTTTCTGTAGCCAGAAAAGGGGCAAGTCACATCTATGGATGCCTCAAAGTTTTTATCATCACCCAATGGTACCCGGTCCCAATCACTGGCCCTGCATAAGGACCAATCACAAGCTTTCTGGGACATCCCTGGAGCAAGATCTCCTGTAGTGGCAGCTGTAGCTCCAGGAGCTGAGGCTGTAGTGTTTCTCATAGCTGGAGTGTAGTTTCTTCAAGTCATCATAAGCCTGGGCTGCCATATTGTGGTACCAGTTATCCAGAGAGTTGACAAGTCCCTACCCAAAGTACCTGACAGTTGTCAATAAAAGGGTAAAATATGCCAGGCTGCCAACAGCCTAGCTTAGCTGAAAGAAAAGTACACATGAACAGTGCTTACAATAGCAGCTTGTAATTAACAACATTACTGACAGTATTTGACAGTGCTTACTCAGCTCCTAGTCCTTTTGGAATGTTGGGTTATTATATCGGTCTCAGACTGATTACACGGTTTAGAGGTTAAAGGCACCTGTTATCTTGAGTTCAGTCCCTGGGACTGTTATGTAACAGTCTCTTCTGAGATTGGGGCATTCCATCCTGTGGGCAAACTCTTTAAACAGGGAGGTCATCAATTTCAAATAGCTTCAGGAAGTCCCTGAAACTGACCAAACTCACTGGGCCCCTTCCTCCCAGAGTAAGCAATAAAGCTGCCGAGAGTCACTCTCACACAAACCAAGGTGCAAAGAAGGTTCAGACAAGCAAAGCTAAAAAGAAGACTCCAAGACCAGACCAGCTGCCGGGAAGAAGTAGAATCCAGCCAAGCTGCCTGAAAGAGCTTTAGACCAACCGAGTCACTTGGAAAGGACACCCTCCAACCTGGTGAGCTGTCGGCAGGCTGAGCAGTGTGCTCCAGGTTCCCAGCTTTCCTGGCTGTCACCCATGCTGGGGTGGGCCTTGGCAATGTAGCTGTCATTGAGTTATTCCTGCTCCTGTTAGTAACCCCTCATCCATATTCTTGTAATTGGTTTAAGTAGAACTCTAGTGGTATCTATATTTTGGCATGTTGTGGGCTCCCTATCTGGGGTGAGTAGACATGTGTATAGCATATCCCCAGGAAAAATTTTGATATACAGCGGAGACCTACACAAGGGAAGGAGAGAACTGGCTCTCTTAGGGGTGGAGCCAGGGCTTCATACATGCTATGCAAGCACCCTACCAACTGTGTGACATCCCTGACCCAATAAAACTTGTTTTTAAACAGGTGCATAAGACTCCTTTCTATATCCATCTGATTATTTATTTTTACATTAATTTGTGTGTGTGTGTGTGTGTGTGTGTGTGTGTGTGTGTGTGTGTGATGCCTTGGGTCTCCTGCAGAGGTCAGAGGACAATTTTTGGGAGTTGGTTTTCTGATTCTGTTATTTATATGTCTCGATGCTGTGACAAAAGACTTGACAAAAGCAACTGGCAGTACAGTATGCAGCTGCGAAAGGTCTGGCCGCAGGAGCAGGAGGAGGCTGGTCCCACGTGTCCACAGTGAAAAGCAGAGAGTGATAGAGCTCTGTGCTTAGCAGCTCGTTTTCTCATTTTAATTCCGTCCGGGCCCTCGTCCATGAAATGGTGCCTGCGACATATAAGGTTGGTTTTCTCACTGCAGTGAACCCAATGTAGATTATCCATCACACACATGCTCAGAGACTTGTTTCCATGGCGATTCTATAGCCCATCCATCAAATCCCCCAATTGAGACTAACCACCATGCAAACATAACACTGCTACTTAGAGAAGAAAATGTTTGAACCCGAGTTTGTTTGTTTTTGTGGTGATGGGCGCAAACGCACGGCAAGTGCTCTACCACTGAGCTACACTCCCGGCCCAGCCTGTTCTTTTCTGTTTGTTTGGTTTTTTCATGCTTCAAATGCTCATATCATCAGAAGGCACCATGGGTGAGGAGAAAGAGCCAAACCTGCTTCTCACCCAGCGGGATTCTCTCTTGCCTCCCAAACCTGCTCAGGGCCTGTCTGTGGTGTGACGCGGGAACACAGCTCCTGGGACTGTAGAACTGGATTTATTTTCTGTTGTGGCTAAGCAATCTGAGCGACCACAGTCACAGATCTTGACAAGTTTCTGCTTGGTCATAATGACAGTTTTTGACATGCCTGAGTGAGTTCAGCTTAGCTGCCCTTTCAGGCAGCGGTAGAAGTCCACTTCAGGGTGATTTCTAACCCACACAGAGAAGCCATTAAATACATGATCACCAGTGGGGCACAGGGCTGAATGTGGCACTATTTTGGATGCAGAATGAAGACACAACCCTCTGTCCTTTTGAGTGCTTTACAAAAGTTTTGCTCAAGGCAGGACTCTATTGCTCACACGCTGGCACCAGGCAACTTGAAATCCAACCCAGAGGCTGGCCTCTGTTAGATTCCAGACCAGATTACCGCTTGGGCTATAGGAAACCAGCAACCTATTCCCAGGCTTACAGGCCCCGAAGACTCAAAACACTGTGAGTCTAATAGTCAGTTTTTGGGAGGAATATTCTTCAAAGAAATTTCAGACTCCCAACAGTCCATCTCAGTGTCCCCCTCGAGCCTCATATCTGAGTCTCATTTGACTGAATCTGTAAAGGCACAGCTCCTGCCCCCAATACACATTCTGCTTCAGCAGGGGTGGAAAGGCTTTCTAAGATACTTAAGCCATTCTCCATGGGTAGTCTTCATTTCACCAGAGAGGTGAAATTATGTACATCTAGACTTCAATTATCAAGACCTTAATTGTTCCTAGGAAAAGCCATCTCCAACATGCAGTATGCTAATTAGAAAAATATCTGGTGACCCGAGATAAAGATTTGATTTCTAGTCATTCCTCTGTTAGCACAATGTCCTTGGTGGTGGTGGGGGGGGCGAGGTCTCCTTCTGCAGGCAGGAAGGAGAAGGGGACCATGTAATTTGTTGCACATTTGTGTGTCAGACAGCAGGAGAGTGTATACAGGGTCTGAAAATGCCTTTTTCTGGGAAAGTCTCAAGGGGTTGCCAAGAGAACAAAGAGAACAGGGAGGCTGAAAATTGCTCTCTGCATACAGAATTATAAAATTACTTACTTGTTTTAGCTTCTCAGTCACCACAAGTAAAAATCTCTTCATTCTCCTCTTTTGTTGGCATATGAATAATTTCCACCATCACAAGTAACAATGGTAAAACCACTTGTTCACCTTTACACAGCACACATAGGTGTTTTGGTTTCATTATTTATTGTTTTCTTTGGTATTAACCTAATTGAAACTCCTTTGCAATTAAAAAAAGGACGTATTATTTATGTGTGTGTGTGCACGCCTCTGTCAGAATTCATATGCACCACATGTGCGCAGGTGTCTGCTGAGGCTAGAGCACATCAGATTCCCTGGAGCTGGAGTTATGGATGGTTATGAGCTGCCTAATGTAGATGCTGGGAAGTGAGCCCAGGTCCTCTGAAAAAGCAGTGTATGCTTTTAACTGTTGAGCCATCTCTCCAACTCATCCTTTTGAATTTTTAAGAAAGACAATCATCATTTAGCAATCAATACTAGGCCCACAAAAACATTATCATGCTTTTCTATGTTCTAAAATGTTCCACACCTAGAAGGAATGAAATTGTGAGTGAAACGTGAAATTGTGTCTCCTAGGCCTAGAGAGCAGGTTCCTTACACTGCCCTGACTTGAACCTCAGTGGATCCTTTATCAGTGTCTTTCACCCAGTGACTTGGCACAGCTCTGGGCATGTCCTCAGAATTACAGAAGCACTAGTAACAGATAGAGTTCACATCTGCCATGAGGTGTCATGGGCAAGATGCCCTCTTACTCACCCATCACCTGCTGCATGAAGGAAAGCTGGCCCTGAAGTCATGAGAGCAGGAGAGCTGGCCCCACCCCTTGCCCCTTGTTGCTGCACTTGGGGGAGAGGGTCCTTAACCTTGCCTCGGCAGCAGAGTAGAGCTGGACCTGGTGGCACGGACGAGGGTGGGCTAGCCCAAGGGCATGAGAGTGGGAAACCTGGTTCTGTCCCTTGACAGCTGCAGCACTGTGTGAGCTAGCTGGGGCAGTGCTGAAGAGCTTGCCCCAACAGCCATCCCATCTATGAACTGCTGGAGTGAGCGAAGGGGGCGGGTCCTGCAGATCCAGAGCTGCAGGATCTCCATGACACAGGGCAACAACAGGAGACCCGAGGGGAGTCCCTGTGAGGACCCAGTATTGATAGTGTAGCAGAATCCAGAGGCCTGGAACCAGACCAAAGACTCATTACAACGAACATTTGCCAGTAAAGATTTGTCGACAAAAGGGTGCACTGTGGAACGCACAGTGACATGCTACAGCTTTCATGGAAAGATGGCTATATATATGTTTTTATTTTTGTTTTATTTTTATTGGGGGAGATGGGGATTGCAATGGCACAGGGCAGGTATGAATGGATGAAGAGATGAGTGGGATTGAAGTGCATAATGTGAAATTCACAAAGAACCAATAGTAAGTTAAAAAAAAAATGAGATAGAGTC